TCAGCCAGCTAAATATATAATGTTTAATTTTGATTTTTAGTTTCTATTTCCTATCTTAAGTGCCATATTTTTCATGTCCATTTTTTGTTGATCTTATGATCATGTTATTTTTCAGAATAGTATTATTAATTCTGTTATATGTTAGAACATGAAAGTGTCACTAACCTATATCTCAGTATTGATATAAGGTTGCACAATTGTGAAGAGCCTACTTTCTTTTGGTGTAACCTTCAATTTAGTATTCAAATCTGTGATGACTTAAGCCCTCCATCTAAGTATTTGGGTTATTATTTCTAATTTTCATAAAATATTAATAAAATATTATTATTATATCATTATCTCAATATTAAGATAAATTAAAAGCTGAGAAAAATTAAGTAACCCTCTCATTTTGCACAACATGTGAATGTAGATATGTTTACCTCCAAAGCCTAGTTAATTTGTTTCACTAAAATTATTATAGAGATCTTTGTGGTTCTAGAATTAACTAAAACTCTGATTCTCTTCTTTTTGAAAAAGAAGTTCCAGCCTAGATTCTTGTATCCTACAAAACTAAGTTTCTTATATGAAGGAGAAATAAAGACCTTCTCAGACAAGCAAACACTGAGTGAATTCATCAAGATAAGACTTGCCCTCCAGAAAGAACTCAGAACACTGTGACACATAGATTAGCAAAATAAACACTCACCAGTGTAAAGTCATCAAAATAAACACTCACCAGTGTAAAGGTCAAAGGTAGATACCACAATGGCTCAAGAGAAAAAACAAAGCAACAAAGTTCAACTCAACCTAATGAACAAAAATCTGCCCCACTTATCAATTTTTTCAATAAATGGAATGCTTGAACTGCACACTAAAGAGACATAGGCTGGCTGAATTGATAAATATTCATAAGCCAAGTATCTACTTTCTTCAGTAAACACATCTAACCCACACACATACATTCAGACTCAAGGTAAAGAGATGGAAACAATATTCCATGCAAACGGAAGCCAAAAGAAAGCTGGTATGGCAGTTCTGATTTCAGATAATTTAGTCTTCAAATCAACAAAAGTAATGAAAGACAAACATGGTCATTATATAATAGTGAAGTTTACAATTCAACAAGAAGACATAACAATTCTAAATATTTATGTACCTAATGCATGTGTATCCAGATTCATAAAGCAAATCCTACTTGATCTAAACAAAATGATAAACAGCAGCATCATAATAGCTGGGGACTTCAGCACCCCTCTGAAAGAACAGGACAAATGCTTCAAACGGAAAGCAAACAAAGAAACAATGGACTTAAACAGAACTCTAGACCAATTGCCCTGATTGACATTTATAGAACATTCTACCTCAAAAACCACCGAAATTAAGTTTTCTCATCAGCTCATGAGACATTTTCTAAGATTGACCATATCCTAGATTAAAAAGCATGTCTCTACAAATTTAAAAAAATAGAAATCATACCACATATCTTCTCAGACCACAGTGGAATAAAAGTAGAAGACAACTCCAACAGAAAATCTCATCTCTACAGAAAGTCATGAAAACTAAATGACCTTTTGCTGAACGATTATTGAGTTAAAGAGGAAATTAAAATGGAAATCAAAAGATTCTTTGAACTAAATGATAAAGGAGACACAAGTTATCAAAATCCATGCTAAAGCAATCCTGAGAGAAAAAATTATATCCATAAATGCCTACATCCAAAACACAGGAAGATAACAAATCAGTCTATTGAATCATCTAAAAGAAATGGAAAGAATGAGCAAATGCACCAGAAGAAAACAAATAACAATTTCAGAGCAGAACTAAATGAAATCAATAACATATACCATGGAGTACTATTCAGCTATAAGAAACAATGGTGATATAGCACCTCTTGTATTTTCTTGGATAGAGCTGGAACCCATTCTGCTAAGTAAAGTATCCCAAGAGTGGAAAAATAAGCACCATATGTACTCACCATCAAATTGGTTTCACTGATCAACACGTGAGTGAACATATAATAATATTTATCTGGCAAAGGGCAGAAGGAGGGAGAAGGTGATGGGTGCATACATACATATGGAGTGTCATGCGCACCATCTGGGGGATGGACACGATTGAAGCTCTGACTCAGGTGGGAAGGGAGGGGCAAGGGCAACATGCATAACCTAAACATTTGCAGCCCCTTAATATGCTGAAATAAAAAAAAAAAGAAAAGAAGTAAAAATTTAAAAACAAAAAAAGGAAAATATGAACATGCAAAAGACAGATTTAAAAATTTAAACATATTAACCAATTGTACTCTATAGTCCTTGTTTGCATTTCAGTTCTAGTAAACTAACTTTAAAAATATGTAACAAAATTGGGAAAATGTGAACACTGATCAGAAATTTAATCATCTTAGGGAATCAATGTTGCAAGGATCGGTATGATCATGTTTAGAGATACATATTGAAACAGGTATGGATGAAACGTAGAACATCTGGCCTTGGCTTTAAAGTAATCCAGGAACGTGAAGAAAATAATTGGGGTATAGATGTAACATGATTGCACTGATTACTGATTATTATTGAATCTGGATATGGGTACATGAGAGTTCTTTTTACTTTTCCCTACTTTTACATATGTTTATTATTTTATACAATAAAAAAAGCACTGAAAAAAATGGTTATCTAGCACCTCTTATATTATCCTAGATGGAGCTGGAACCCATTCTAAGTGAAGTATCCCAAGAATGGAAAAGCATACACCACATGTACTCACCATCAAACTGGTATTAACTGATAAACACTTATGTGCCCATATAGTAGTAACATTCCTAGGGTGTAGGGCAGGTGGGGGGGGAGGAGATTGATATATTCATACCTAATGGGTGTGGCACACACTGGGGGATGGACACATCTGAATCTCTGACCTGGGTGGGGCAAAGGCAATAAATGTAACCTAAATATTTGTACCCCCATAATATGGTGAAATAAAAAATAAATAAACCAAAAAATAAAAAAAAATATAAAAGAAGTCAATGGAAAGTCAAAAACAAATCATTTGATATTGAGAGAAGTAACACTGGTTTTCCTTTAGAAGACATAAAAATGGTGTTATTATTTTACAAAATGGAACAGTAGAAAATGTTATATTACTTTTCTCTATATAGAGAGAGTTGAGGAATCCTTTTATGTAGAGAAGATGCAAGTTATTAAAAGCATTTAGTTCATATTTTTAGCTCTGCCACTTAGTCATCTGGTCTTTGGTAAACATCACAATATAATAATTTTTGCATGTACACATGTACATATATGTATAATTGGTATATGAGGGCTATCAGCCATTGTTAATATAATTTTTCATATTACATGACTAGATAATTTCCTGACAGCCCTCCATAATATAATATTATGTATGTATGTTTCTGTTGCAGAATTTCATTTCTCCCTAGATTTTAGGCTTTACATAGAGCTTGTGTTCCTTCATAATTATTAATACATTTTTATATATCTTTGTTGTTCAGGAATGGATTAATCATTTTGTGTGGTTTAAATTACACTAACATCAATGGTTAAACATGAAAAAGGTATTATATTTGTTTGTTTCTTTATATTTATTTTAATAGCAGCACACATCTGACTACTATCACAAGTGGGGAGCTAGAACTTTATGATTTATACATATTTTATGCTTCTCATATATCTGTTCACATAATTCTAATACAGATGTAATCATTATATCAAATTTATGTTTATAATTTTCTTTTTAAAAATAATATGTACTGTTATCATGTGTCTGTGTGCATAACGTTACTAAGATTCAACCATTGGTTGCATGTGCTAATAGTTCATCAAATTCGCCTAGAGATTTAGTAATCAAGGCAGGATATATTATAGTACACTTGGAATAAGTCATCTAGAGGACAGCAATACATTGTAGAAGATGTGAGGTGAGTTCTCATCCACTCTGGCAATTTCAGGCTAAGTGTCCTTGGGCATTGCTTCTTAATTACCAAATTAAGGCTTGAGGCTCTAAAACCTCATACAGAAATTGAAACACTACTAAGTGGTGACTCTAGAAAGAGGTATTCACCCTGGGATGTATGTGATCACCGATTTTGATTAGAATCTTTAATAAGAAAGGATTCTGGGATTTTCTTCTGTCAGTTACAAAACATGTTTTCTATGTGTAAAAATGATTGACATGGTCATTTGCAGATGCTCATTATTCTCCACAAAACTCCTAAAACTAATACTTAGACTCTGTTCCTTTAAAAAAATCACATAAAGGTAATTCTAAGGTAAATGGTGTTACTGATTATATGTCTGTTTGGATGTCACAACCCAAAGGGAGTTGTATTGGCTATGGATTATTCAGAAAATTCATACTAAGATAATAATGGGCACATCAATTAAAGTGATGGGATTTGACTCAGGCAGCAAGGATAGACTGAGGATGGAGGGATCCTTAAAAATTTGTGTGAGTCCACAATTCATCCAAAAGACAGAGATATATTTCTGACTGGAAACTGGAAAGACATTAAGAGATGAATTGGTTGTGATATGGTGGAGGTAATCTATTATTTGCCATTTAATTGGAGAGAGAAAATAAGTATTAAATTCATCAGTAGTTGGAATTGTACTCATAGTTAAGGTTTTAGTTGATTTATTGTTGTGAAATGACACTTACATATTACTTTTCTTTCACTAACCCAAACCCCTCTCTCCTTTCCTACTTTCCCATATCCCAGTCTCCCTACTTTCCTTCCTCTCTCTTATTTCTCCCCTCCTTCTTTCCTTCCTTCCTTCTTCCTTCCCTCACCCCCTCTTTCCATCCCTCATTTCCTCCCTTCCTACTTGCCTTCCTTCCTTCTTCCTTTATTTTCTTCTTTTTTTTAACATACAGTTATAATAAGCATTCTAATGCATCTAAATTAATTTTTTTCTTAGTAGTTTATCAGGAAATTAGTAATACATTTTCCTCTCAGCAAGCATGTATGCTAATTCTCTCAACACAACTTGGTTCATTTTCTTTAGGAAGACCCACTACATTGTGTGAGACTATGGGGAAAGCTGAAATTTGGCTAATCCGAACATATTGGGATTTTGAATTTCCCCGTCCATACTTACCTAATTTTGAGTTTGTTGGAGGATTGCACTGCAAACCTGCCAAACCTTTACCTAAGGTAGGTGTATGACAGTGGAGAACTTTATGTACCTTATAAAAAATACCTGATTTTCCTTTAATGTTATAGCCTTAATAACAGATAAATGCTTCTGGAAATCTTCAGTTTACCACTCCAAATCTATTTTCTTCAGCATACGGGTCTTCTATGAGTATTATTTATTCCTTAGGATGTAAAATTGAGAATTTAAACTGAAGAATGAAATGATTAAATGGTGTGTTACAAAAATATCAGTGTGTCTATAATGTGGATAGTGGGTGGAAAACAGACAGAAAAGCAAATCACTAAGGACACCGCCATAGTCTTAATAACAAGCCGGACAGAGTTATGAATAGGAACATTTACCAAATTTGAGAGATAAAGATGCTTTCATGAGAACCCATGGGTAATTTCCAATTCTCACATAGAATTTGGTGAGAGAAAGTCAGTGTTGAGAGAAGTCACAGAATGAGGTAGGGCTCCTAGAATTTAATCTTGAGGGTTTATTGGATTGTGGTGACTTTTTCTGTCAGCAAACAGTTAGTGGTGGAAAAATTCCCTTGAGTTGATGATGATACGTTTAGTTTTGACCTATTTACTTTAAGGAGACAAAATGATTTTTAGGTGATTTCTAGAAATCATTTTGATAGTACAAAGTCTCAGTCTCATCAGAGAGCATTAGAAATAAGCTCAGAGTCATCAGCGTAAAGTAGAAATCATAAAACTGAGAGATTCATATATCATATTGGTTCTATATGAGCATATTAGGCTGTTTTTCTGGAGTGAAAAAAAAGTGTATATATACCACATAACAAAGTCTTCAAAGGATAAGTGTGAAATGCTAGAAATGTTAGACAGGAAAAGTAATGAGAAGCAAAAGAGAGTAATAGATAAACATGCTAAGAACATTGCATTTAATCATCAAGGAGGGGTTAGGAGACAAATGCTCATTTATTTCATTTGTAGGCAAACATAACCTCTTTGGAAAGTTGTGGTTTAAATGGTGTTCTCAGGAGAGTTTCTGATTTCTCTTTAGGATAAAGGTACATTTGTGTTTAAAATTTTATTTTAGTATTCTAAATATGCTTTTCTTACCACGTTATGACTGCAAGCAAGTTCTACTGAGTCTTGTTATGAGAGGAGTTAATATACCAACATCTAAATAAAAACACATAAGAGAAATGACATACCTGTGATGTCCATGGCTCACTATATGATAACCCATGTCACACTGTTATCTTTATCCTCCCACCCCTACTTCTCTCTCTCTCACTCTTTTTCTCTGTCTCTCTTTCACACACACACACACACACACACACACACACACACACAGAAATAGACAATTTTATAAGAGAGAGAAGTTTTTTCATTCCAAACTCAAATTATCTATTATTATAGACTTTGGGAAATATTAATAACCATCTTGGATTGTATTTATGATGAAATAATTATGCCTGTCATTGGATACACAGAAGGAAACGCAATGACAGACAGTCAAATCAAAAATGTAAATCAGTATGGTAGTTATATATGTTTGGTTTGTGTGCTATCTTACTAAATCAGTAGTCTGTTTGGCAACCCTATCAAAAAATGGGCAAAGGACATAAACAGAAACTTCTCAAAAGAAGACAGAATAATGGCTAACAAACATATGAAAAAATGTTCAACATCTCTAATCATCAGGGAAATGCAAATCAAAACCACAATGAGATATCACTTAACTCCAGTGAGAATGGCCTTTATCAAAAAGACCCCAAACAATAAATGCTAGCATGGATGTGGAGAGAGAGGAACACTCCTACACTGCTGGTGGGACTGCAAACTAGTCCAACCTCTTTGGAAAATAATATGGAGATACCTCAAAGCAATACAAGTGGACCTACCATTTGATCCAGCAATTCCACTACTGGGCATCTACTCAAAAGATCAAAAGTCACTTTATGAAAAAGACACCTGCACTCGAATGTTTATAGCAGCATAGCTCACAATTGCAAAGCTGTGGAAACAATCCAAGTGTCCATCAATACATGAGTGGATTAATAACATGTATATCTATACCATGGAGTACTATTCAGCTTTAAGAAAAAATGGTGATATAGCACCTCTTGTATATTCCTGGATAGAGCTGGAACCCATTCTACTAAGTGAAGTATCTCAAGAACAGAAAAACAAGCACCACATGTACTCACCAGCAAATTGGTATTAATGGATCAACACCTAAGTGGACATATAGGAGTAACATTTATCAGGTGTTGGGAGGGTGGGAGGGGGGAGGAGGGGATGGGTATATACAACCACAATGAGTAAAATGTGCAACGTTTTGGGGATGGACATGCTTGAAGCTCTTACTTGAGTGGGGAGGGGGGACATGGGCAATATATGTAACCTTAACACATGTATCCCCATAATATGCTAAAATAAAAATAAATAAATAATAAAAAAAGTAAGAATCTCACACCTCTAGGGTTCTTTCAATTGATTTAAGTATTATATGAAAATGCATATTTCTTTAAAATTTAGTCAAATATCTTTAATGATATATTAAATCAATAACCACCATCAAAAACCAAAGTAATCTGTTTGGAAGATGAATCAGAATGGTAAGACACCATTTCCTGGAATTTCAGAGACATTCTCTTGATGTTAACTAAGCTAAAAATAACAGTCAACTTTCATTTAAGATATCATCCTCCCCCTAATAATTTCACTAGTCATAAACTGAGAAATACAGTGATTCCAGGGTAATTACTAATACAATAGTTGCCAGGGATTGCAGGCTGTAGCTCTAGAAAGTGGCACAGATTATTATGTGAAGGGCCCCAATTCCAGACTTTCCAGTGCCCAGAACACTAAGTGATGACCGAGGGAATTTTATTTGCAGAGGAATTTATATTTTGCTTCTGTCTTAGGGCTCAAATTTAGGGCATATAGCTAGTCACACTCATATATGAGTTGAACATTAGGAAAACAAGAGAAGCACCACCTCATAAATGTCATTATGATTATGGTCGAAGATTAACTGTGATTTTCTTCTTCTAAAATGTGTTACTATATACATCATATTTCTAACAAATTTATTCTTAACATTATTAATGAGGGACAATATAAATGAGAAAATGATCTTGAATGTTTGCCTCACAGGAATAGGTAGAGCAAATTATTAATAATTTATAATATATAAGTTATAGCCATAACTGGGATGTTAATAATTTTAAAAGCCTAGCTCAGAACTCTATCTTGGAATTCCTTTCAAAAATATTTTTAAAAGTTTGCAAACAACTCTGTTGGTTAGCTAAATTAAGCCTTGGGAGAAGCAATTCCACTAACATGAGAAGAGCTGCCCCTTTATTTGGTGTCCATTTCTATAAAGGTTTTAGGTTCCATGCTTTTACTTATCATCACTGATTATATAGAAAAGCCATAAATTTCGGAAACATGTTTCTTCTTAATGAGACTAGATGGTTCTCCATGTCACAAGACATACCAGTCTATTTCCTCAGACATTTCTTAACTTTACCTATCTAAATGTGTAAGTAAAGCTTTTTTCCCCTATGATGCTGCACTGATATAATAGCAAGAATGTTATGTTTAAAGGAAATGGAAGATTTTGTCCAGAGTTCAGAAGAACATGGGGTTGTGGTGTTTTCTCTGGGATCAATGGTCAAAAACCTCACAGAAGAAAAGGCCACTATTATTGCCTCGGCCCTCGCCCAGATTCCACAGAAGGTCAGTCCAACCTCTTATTCTGGTAGGCAGCATTTTAGGAATTCAAGACACGGTGTGGCTAATAGAGCTCTTTCCAGGTGAAAGTTGAAATTCAGGATACACTCAGTATTACTGGCACCAGCTGTCAGTAAAGGTTGGTAAAACATTGAAATAGTGTGTCTAAGCACAGTAAATCATTTGCTTACTGAGCTTTGGCACTAATACTAACGTATGCTGTTTTGTAATCATTTATTTTCATATGAAGTAGATATGAAGGCAAGCTCCCACTGATCTTTTACTATTAGAAATCTGTTCTGCACTGACTGCACATAGAAGTACTGAAATATGTTCGCTCCATAGTTCTGGAAAAGAGAGAGTTTATATACAGAGTTGATATATATTATGCTTTAAAATATACTTCAAATGCATAGGTATTTTTAAGACTTCTTCAAAGTATAGTTGGTTTAGAAATAGAAACCTGGGTTCACTTAGTTTTTCTATTAATGAATTGAATAATCTTCAGCTAAAAACAAGTGAAATTCTAACATTAGAATTTCACTTGTTAGAATGTGACATTCAAATGTTAGAATGTGAAATTCTAACATTTAATCTAAGATTAAATTCCAGTATGCTTTAAAAGAAAATGCATTTTCTAATGTTATTCATATTCAATTAACCTTAATTTCTATCACTGCCATTTCATATAACTTCTCTTTTCATACTCCCTTTCATGAAACATCCAAGGACTCTTTATGTTTATATATTGGTTAAAGTACATAAATATTACAATGGTTTTTAGCCCCCATATTCTGATTAACTAGTCCTGCTTATTTTCTTTTTCTTCACTCATAATCTCTTTTCTAAACACTGTTAAATGATCAATATCAAAATAATAATACTATATTTAACAGCCTATTACTACAAGCCCTTACAAAAAGGTAGATGTAAACAAACCACTTGTACATCTCATGTTTGCAAACTGCCATTTATGTTAACACCTAAGTAGGGTGGCTATGTGGTATCTAAAATATTCTATAATGCCTTAAAATGCCCTCATTGTGTGGGCATTGACAGCACTAGGAAAACACAAGCTTTTTTGTAATCATTTAGTTCACTTGCAAAATTAAAGTGTCACCTCCCATAGGTTTTATGGCGATATGGAGGGAAGAAACCAGCCACATTAGGAAACAATACTCGTCTCTATGACTGGATACCCCAGAATGACCTTCTTGGTAAGATATGGGCAAAGAAAAGCTGTGTAGTTGGACAATAGACAAGTTAAGTAACTGTTTAACAGCAAATTAATTCAATACCTTTTGTAATAATTTAAAATTTGACACCCTCT